GTAAAGTAGAATATATTTAACTATTTCATTTGTTTTCATCACATCAGTGAATAATTTGTAAATATTTGGTTTTAAAAATGAGTAAATGAATAAGAAAGTGATTCAGAAAATGTAAATGTACTGATAATGTTTGCGACAAAACATTAACTTTCTTCTTTCATGCTTTTATTATTTCGTTTTCACATACTTCCTATAAGATTTTGACAGTCTGATAGAAAAATGCAATCATTAAGTGAACGCAAAGATTTTTTGTGACTCTAACAAGTGAAGGAACATGCCTATAACACATTCCAGTGGCATTTCTCTAAATGCTATTTAGCATATAAGATTCTTCTAGCTTTACAAATTTATTTCAGCTCCTAAATTAAAATTCATCTGGAAAAGACCATTTTCTCCTGTTTATATAACACTGTCACATAAAGAGTGTTAAAAAAAAAATATTTCACTAAAAATAGCTTGCGTAAGTTAGGGATTAGAGTAGTTTCTGCTGCTATAATTGTTCCTTTGTAGTTTTTTCCATGATGTTTTGCACAGTGTTTTTGACTGTGTTTATTAAAGTCAGCACATCAAAAAGGATCAAAGAGAAAGTGAGTGAGAACCAAAGAAACCCCAAGTGTGTTGTCTCATTGGGGAGCTATGCAGATTCGAATAAACAAGTGCAAATTGTTGAGGTTTTAATGAAAATTTCTACAATTATTTTATCTTAAGTCATTCTATACGATAACATCTGTACAGCAGATGGCTACACTGTACCAAGGCAATGCTCCTTTTTCTTTCTCTGTTTAATAGTACATCTGAGATGACTACTTTTGTCACTGTGCTCAATTTGGTTCAGCAAATAATTTGAAAAGTGCAGCTGCTGCAGATGGTCACAACAGTTATATAAACTGGAAAATCAAAGACAGTTAAGTATTTTTGTAGTAGAGTCAAAATATAAAAATCTGACAACCTTTTAAGTTCAAAGATATAAGTATAAAAATTTTGGAATGTAGAGATGTCACTTGAAAATTAACAAATGAGTAAAGACTGTGTGTGTGTGAGTGTGTATGTGTGTACACATGTGTATAAGCCCTGTGGTGAGTTTTCTTCTTGATTTTTGAGACTGGATCTCACTATGTACTTTAGGCTTGCCCTGAACTCACCATGTAGCCCACACTGGGCATAAACTCACATTGATCTTCTTGCCTCAGCCTCCTGAGTTCTGGGACTACAGGCATGTGCCACCACACCTGGCTGTACATGTACTTTGGTGATAGATACTATTTACCACTTATCAAAACTCTACCTTGAAAAATTATGTATTTGCCTATATTTAATATAAACTACAAAGATGATATTTAAAGATATTTAACACAATCAAGTTCAAAGTTTAAATTATTACAAAAATACAATTAAAATTAATTTTTAAAAAATATGAAGCAATCTTTGAATTAAAAATTTCCTAGAAGATATGGGCTGCTTGTCATGACATGCAGGTTGCTGCTATGATGTCTCTCGGGTAAGTGGATGTTTAAGAAGAAAGGGGTGGTGAATGAAAGCAAGAGACAGGAAAAGGAATAATGTGGAACTGTCCTGCTTCAA